CTTAAGCAGATCACCCCAGCGAGGGAGCTCAGCGCCGTCAGGAAACTGGGCACACCAGGCGTTAGTCAGGCGACCGAAGCAGTGCTGCGAAGTGTGCGGCAGTCCGCACGTCTCCCCACGGCGCCCGCCGGTGCAAAGAACGTAAGTACAGGGACCAGCACCCCCAGCCCTCCCACGCCCAGCGTACCACTCACGAAGCTGCTGGGGCGAAAGGGTCTCACGGGAACGCGGCTGCTGCTGGCGCTGGCTACCGCCAAAGCCTCCACGCTGTGCGGCTCCACCTCGGCCAGCACCACCGCCGCCTCCACCTCCACCGCCGCTGCCGCTGCCTCCACCACCTCCAACGCCGCCCCCACTCCCGCCACCACCCCCACCTCCACCGCCACCCCCTCCGCCTCCTCCACCGCCTCCACCGCCGCCCCCTCCGTCCCCTCCACCACCCTTGCCCCCCTTGCCCTTGCTGTTGCGGCGCCTCCCACTAGGAGCAGACGCAGCCCCGACCTCCTCAGTGCCAACGAGGTTGACAGTAGCAGCAGAGGCAACAGAGGGGAGAAGGGGGACGGGGGAGCACCCCTCAAAGAAAGGGGCGCGAGGGTCGCCGCGAGAGGCACCTACAGCAACGATACTCTTCTCAGCTGCAGTAAGGCGCTCCTCGAGCAGGTCGACGGTGAGCTCGGTGGGGCAAAGGGAGAGAAAGTGGTCCCTGACTGAAGAAAGGGAGTCAGGGAGACGGGTGACTAGGTAGTAGAGGGTGATGTACATGGGGGGGGGGTTCTTGGCACAGAACTCAGTGGGAAGCGCAGCGCGGTAGCGGGCGTCACTAGTGCGGAGGTGAGTAATGAGGTCAGCGACAGTGGCAAAGGCGGCCAAGTCAGGGAACAGGTACGGCAGCATGAGGCGGCTGAGGGCAGCAGTGGCAGGGGAGGAGTAGCGCGCTACGACAGCGTCATACAGAGACTTAGCAGTTTTGTACAGGCCAAAGTGCGCACGCTCAGCAGACGGCAGGTGACTACGAACAGCAAGGCGAGCAACAGCGTCACGAGTAGTCCACTGCGAGCGAACCGTACTGTCAGCAGTGGCAGCAGGTGCAGGAGAGACACCGGACATGTGATCGAACAGGGAGACTCCGTCCTTGGAGTCTGTCAGAATGTGTAGTTTGTCTAGCCTGCAGTGGGGTACTCTATAATGAGTACGGCCCCTTAGGGTTTCATATATGTATCCACCTGCTTGCTAGTGAACCCCCTCCTTCTGCCTATTTTCTCTTGCCTAGCTTGCTAAACCCTAGCTATGGCTCCTGCGTTCTAACCACTACTGTGACAGAGTCGCACTGAAGAAAGAGCTGCAGGTCGTCTACCCAAACGTCGAAGTCAACTGCACGACCCTCAGCATCAAAGGTAAGAACAGTAGGGCTAGCCATAGCGGCAGAAGCAGCAGTAGCAGCAGTAGCAGCAGTGGCAGCAGATACAGCAGTAGTAGTAGGAGCAGCACGGGCAGGGCAGTGCGGCTCGGTAGGGCGGCGCGGCTAGACTGGGCGGCGCGGCTCGGCTGGGCGGCGCGGCACGGCAGGGCGGCGCGGCTCGGCTGGGCAGCGCAGCTCAGCTGGGCGGCGCGGCTAGGCTGGGCGGCGCGGGTGCTTACCAGGGGCGGGTGCAGGGCAGGGCCGCAGCTGGCGGTTAGGTCAGGGCCGCGACTGGGGCGGCAGCAGGGCAGGGCCGCGACTGGGCGGCGGTAGAGCAGGGCCGCGACTGGGGCGGCTGAAGGGCAGGGCCGCGACGAGTCGGCGGCAGAGCAGGGCCGCGATAGGGCGGCAGCAGGGCAGGGCCGTGACTGGGCGGCGGTAGAGCAGGGCCGCGACGAGCAGCGGCAGGGCAGAGGCCGCGACGGGCGGCGAGGTCAGGGCCGCGGCGAGGGGCGGCAGGGCAGGGCCGCGACGGGCGGCTAGGTCAGGCCGCGACGGGCGGCAAGGCAGGGCCGCGGGTGGCGGCAGGGCAGGGCCGCGACGAGGCGGCAAGGTCCGGGCCGCGACGAGGCGGCGACAGGGCAAGGCCGCGACGGGCGGCTAGGTCAGAGCCGCGACGGGCCGTTAGGGCAGGGCCGCGACGGGCCGAGAAGGCAGGGCCGCGACGGGCGGCACTAGGGCAGGGCGCGCGACGGCGCAGGTGAGGCAGGCGCGAGGCGCGTTTCGGGCAGGGCAATAAAAAAAAAAATCGTGGTGGGCCCTAAAAAAAAACGTTCCCACTAGGGAACCTGCTCTGATACCATGTCAGAAATGTGAAGGAACGAATGATTGAACTAGCAAGCAGGTGGGTACAAGTAGGAAACCTAAAAGTGTTGTACTCTATATTGACTACCCCACTACAGCCTACATAGACTACGTCATATATGTTTGACAAAAATGACTGAGATTATTATAACAAGCACATAGATAGGCTTATACCATGGGAATGCACATTTCTATTTACTATTTCTAACAACCATTGTGTGACTGGACCACAATTCATTGAAATTAATCTGACAAATCATTGATTGACAAAAGGTATCAAGTGAGTTCAGTAAACAACACGGTATACAGATGGCAAATATTAACTTAAGAAATTGTACAGCATTCTACAAATGATTTTCGAGGCTGGTTCGAAGCTCGGCTTAGAAAGGCTCGGGAGGTTCGGATTGGCTAGCTGGAAAGCTACGTCCCGCAACTTCAAGCTCGAACCTTGGGCTGGTTGCGCGTCAGCTTCGAAACCTGCCCTCAACCTGCGCTCAACTTGCGGCAACGTACCGCGCACCTACGCTCGACTTACCCTAAACCTGCGCCATAGCAATGAGGTGCAAACGTAGGCTTTTCAGAACCTACGTCACACACCTCACCATTTTTGGGATGTCGTTTTCGCGGCGCAATCTAAGCACGAAACCCTAATAGTCATGTTGCGCGTCGACATTTTTTGCGACGTGGCGGCATCGAGACTGTGCAAATGGCAACATAATTTCGTAAATTAATCTTTACCCTGTGGGGTTGGCCCATGTAAACTGGGGGTTGGACTTGTAGTGAATAACTGACCCTAAAAACAGACCAATGCGCGTATGCTCTCGATCTCGCGCGGCGGTAGCAAGGATGCTAGTGAATTCCGTGAAGCAGAACCTCAAGGTGGCGAGGGCCTATTCAACAACGGGTTTGAGTTCGAGTGTGTTCGGACGGGACGCACGAGGTTCGTCGGGATTCAAAAGGGTGCGCATGAACACTTTAGGGTGCTCGAAGTTGAAGACAAGAAACCAGAAATCGAAGTAGTAAACTTCAGCGGCTGTAACACGTACCAGAAGTTGCAATGCAAACAAGGTTTGAATACCTCTTAAATGTGGAAATATTGGAAGTCATGTTATGTCAAACGTGATTCAGTGACGGGACGTCTTTGGATGTGACTATATCGAATTACCGTCTTGTTCCTCAGCCTTGTCCCTCATGGTCTCGACTATAAGGAAATGATCTGAGACTTGTTTTCATCTGTTAGGGAGGATCCATAAGGCTACTAGAGGGTATAAAACGTACGGGGCTGGTTTATCGACTGCGTTGGATACAACGATCATGTCAATGGTGATGGACGACGGCGGTGCGACGACACCTAGCCATGGCCCATGCGAGCTGCGATGGATACGTCTAGTCCCACCTCTCGTGTTTTCCGACGATGACAGCCCGCACGCATCGCATGTCATGTAATGACGGGTGATGTGCGATAAATCGGTAACCCATTCGAAGGAACGCGCCAATGGGCGGCGTGCGAGGCGAAGGGAAGGCGTGCGGCGCGAGTAACAGGTGGGAGGCGTGCGGCGCAATTGAATGGTGGGTGACGCAGCGCGTCCCATGAATGACCCATGACACCTCCGATCGTAGCATGCCTCCCTCCTCTCCTCCCTCGTTCATCCTCCTCCTCTGCCATCCCCTCCCTTCTCCCTCGCTCTTTCTTTTTTCGAAGATTTAGTCCCTCATTTATCCTCCTCCTGTGCCATCCTCCTAGTTTTTCTGAGGTTAAGCCAACATCTACTTTTTTTTCCCACTTCCACCGAATTCCTCCTGCCAGCGGCATACTTCCTCTCCGTTTCGTTGTGTGGCGTTGAACTTCCTCACAGCCTTTCTCTCTCCTGCTTGCGAAGCCTTTCCAGTCTGACAGGCAAAGAACCACCTAGTACCCACTTCTGCCATCTGCCTCTCGTCCCGTGCGCCCCTTCACCCTCGCCTGCGGACATCGGTCTGTTCAGCACAGCGCCTGCGCAGCGTGGTCTGCTGAGAAGCGCCTGGCTCCCACTGCTGTCATCTGCCTCGCTTCCTGTGCGCCCCTTTGCATCCGGCCACAGAATCGTGTACGTCTGTGTACGGGTTAGCGCCGGGCTCCCAACTTGCACCGCGCTGCTGCCATCTGGTTCACCTGCCACTTGGTACGCACGGCCCATGTGGTGCCCCGCACCGCTGCCTCTCTTTCCTGCCTCACTCCTTTCTTGTGCCTCCTGCTGCTCCCCTTCCACCCCTGCCTCAACTGCTTCTCACTTTTGCATGCCTTCCGTTCATCTCAACCCTTTTCAGTTCAGCTTGAATTTTACCGTTTCCACTTCTTCCCATGTCTCTCTCACTCGCCCCACGCGCTCTATCTTCAACTTGATGCTGCTACATCCTGTCAATTGCTTGTTGATTCCTTCCCTTCTTCTCTCTTGTCCAGCCATTAACTTCTCCAATCGTTTTGACGTTAGATTTAACGAAACCGGCAAGCTTTCTGCCATTCCACCTACTTCGCTTCGCTGCCATTAGTCCAATCCATTTCTCATGCCTCCTGCATCTCATCCCCGTGCCTTCTTCCACCCACACTCACACACCTCTTCAGCTGCCCCTTCCCTGCTGCCACCATCTTCTCGACATGCCATCTTACTTCCCATAATAAATGTTATTGTCTCCTCTCTTCCCTCTCCTATGCCTGCTCCGTCTCACCCCCGTGCCTTGTGCCTTACTCCACATACAGTCACACGCGTCCTCAGCCACCCAATATAGCACGCCTCCTCAGCTGCCCCTTTCCTGCTGTCGCCAAATCGTGCTTTACACTTCAGCCACTCCGCCAGTGGCTCTTCGCGTTGCTATCATCCTGTAAGTTGGGTACCGTTCCACCTCTCACGAGACGCAAGAGTGCGCTTATCAGCTTCCTTCACTACTTCCTCTCCTCTCCACGTGCACCTCATCCCTGCATGTACTCATCCTATCCGTTCCTACCACTAGAGTAGCTTACTGATTTGGGTGCTCCTATCCACGCCATCCATTTCATTGTTCGCCTGTCACCTCACGAGGCTTGCTTCTTCGTGAGGTGGGGATGGCTGTTCATGTTTGTTCTACGCTCCTTTTTTGGGACCCCTCTCAACTACTTACACTGATGTTAAGTTGCGGTGCAAGTGCCATACATTGGATTGGAAATGCCTATTATAAGATACGGCTTAAAAGCAGGAGAGGCAATTAACTTCGTTTGTGAAAATCCACCATGTCCATCTTATTCTGTTCCTCTCACTGGTTCGTTTGTTATTGTGCTTCCGTTTCGCTCTTTCATAAAGTTTTCTGGCTGTTCTGTTTTCTCATCCTACTATCTTGGCCTTCAAGCCTTTCCAGTCAAAGTGAACTCCGTTCAATCTACCACCCGATGCAGCCCCTTGGGCTTGCAGGCCCTCACCCTACGCATTCGTTTCTGTTTCACTCTTTATGCAAATTTGCTTCTTGGCAGTCCTCGCTCGCACGTCTTGCCCCTCCTGACATCTTGTCTTCTCTTTCTCCTCCTGGCCTCCCCTTGTTCCATTGCTATCAGACTTCATGCCAAATGCGTGTGCGTCTGAACAAGCCTCTCCTCTGATGGCTGATCCAAGTATGCGCTCGATTGTGTGTGCCTTGACTATCCCCCTTCTGCCCCCTATTTCTGACACTTGAACCTACTCTATTCCGGCCTTGTCTTCTTCTGACAGGCTGCAGTGAAGGCAACGATCGGTCATAAGAGGAGGGTCGTTTGAGGGGAGTGAGGACAAAATGGCTGCTGAGGGAGTGATGGGGGCACTGGTTGATACGGTCAAAGAGGCGGTGGTGGCAGCAGTGAGAGCGGAGCTGGCTGCACACAAGGAGGAGAGGGATGAGTTGCAGCACGAGGTGAATGAGTTGCGGCTAAAGTTGACTGCTGTGGAGGAGAAGAATGAGGCGACTGCTGTTGCGGTGGACGAGAGTGAGAGAGAGTTGGCAGCAGTGAAACAGGAGGTGGCTGAGCAAAGCCAGTCAACTAGATTGCAATTGGAGGATGCTGAGAGGACACGATCGGCGGAGATGAGGGAGATGAGAGGGCAGGTGGAGGAGAGGGAGAGGGAGTTGGCAGCAGAATTGGCAGCTGTGAAAGGGGAGTTAGCTGAGCTTAAGCTGTCAACTGCATTGCAGTTGGAGGAGGCTGAGAGGAGACGAGTGGCGGAGATGAGAGGGCAGGTGGAGGAGAGGGAGAGAGAGCTGGCAGCAGTGAAGGGGGAGCTGGCTGAGCAGAAGGATGCTCTTATGGAGTTGGATGTTGACCTGAAAATCAGCCAGAGTGTTGGCGATCAGGAGACTGCCTGGCAGGTGAGTGCTGAGGGAATTGATGCATAGTGCATGCATTGTTTGACAGAGCCTTAGTTGTTTTGGTACTGTCACGATGGTTAGTCCTTTTTTTTTACGCATCCCCTCTTCACCCTTCCCCTCCAGCGAATCAAGACAGCATCACGAGGAACCGATCTGAGCCTGGGGGGTCTGAGTAGCCTCTCAGACAACATCCTCGCCCATGTATCCTCGATGACGCATCTGAAAAGCATTTACTTGTTTTCTGATTCAGGCTTCAGTGCAGATGGCATCAAGCACCTCTACAGGTTGCCGCAGCTGGAGAAGCTGGACCTCAATGGCACAAACGTCTCAGACAGTGCCTTGGAAGGCGTTGGGTCCTTGACCAGTCTCAAGGAGCTCTATCTCAATTTTACCAAGGTGACCAATGTTGGTCTGGCACACTTGACAGTTCTGTCCTCTCTCGAAAAGACTCAGCTTTGTGGATGCAAGGGTGTGACAGATGCTGGCATGGTGCATGTGGGGAGGCTGACAGGGCTTGAGAAACTTTGGCTGGATGGCACGGCAGTCACGGATGATGGGCTGCAGCAGCTGACTGCCCTGACCAAGCTGACATGGCTTGGGGCGCCAGAAGGGCGTGGCTTTGAGAAAGATGCTATACGCAGGCGGATAGGCGGGTAGGGTGGCAGGGAGGGACGATGGAGCGGGGGGTGAGTTAAGTGTGACTACCTAGGAGAGTCTGAGGTGAGGCGTGGAGGCAGGGGGTGCGAAGAATGAGGGGAGCATGCTTCGGAGTGGGAGAATACTCGGATATTGCACGTGCAGGGCTTTTTGAAGAAGAGGTCAAGTGTATGAGGGGCTGTCATCCTGACACCTCTCTTGCTTCCACAGGGGGACTGAATCCAAATGAGGATGTGTGTAGACAGAGAGGCAGGTAGAGTGGGAGGAATTGTATGATTGTTTAGGCAAAATCAGGCTGCACAGAACATGTGTGATATGACTGTTTAGGAAAATACACTCCAGACAGTTGCATCCTGTGTGATGCTAACCGTTTTGCCTTTAATATGGCCCAAGTGGTTTCTGCTGTGACTTCAGAATGTTTCAACCAATGACACCAGCCAGAATGTTGTACAAATACGATATAACTACCGTATTACCGTATCAGATATCTTTGATTTGTAGTATCAAAGAGCAACGAGGTTGGATTACGCGATGGGACTGCGCAGTGCGCAAGTTGCAGCGTTAGATAGAAGCCATAGTTGCTTGGGCGGAGTGGTCCTGCTACTCGTGCAAACTGTTGGGTTGGGCCTCTCTGAAATCATACCCTGGAAATCTGGATTGGAGTGGGATGCTGGGCGGATGCAAATTATGAAAGCTTGCATGTGAGGGGAGATTATCGCTGTGTGCGCTGCAGTGGTGCTCCTCTCAGCAGGTCGCCCTCCTCTCCTCTGAGGACTAAGGCTTATGGTATATGGCTGATGGAATGTGGAAACAAACTGGTATGGATATGGCAGAGTTGTAGGATGTGGAGTATGGAGTGAGGTATGCGATAAGGTACAGCATGAGGCACCGGGTGAGGATTAGGCCACAGAAGGTGTATGCATGCACCATGCTGCCATGAGGAGCCGATGGAGAATGGCATGGAAGGGGACAGCAAGAGATGCAAGGTGGCACGGACTGCGAGAATAGCTTGTGGGTGTTGGAGAATGAGGAAGTCAAGAAGATCAAGGGAAGGTGACAAGGTGGTGACAAGGAGGTGACAAGAGCTGTAAACACACTCTAGGAGATTATGCTGGTAAAGAGCGAAGGGGCAGGCATGCAAGAAGGGCGCGAATGAGCACATGGCAGGCATGAGAGTAGGTCAACCTCGTGTGACCCTGCTGCAGCCTCAGACTTCCAGCCACTGCACCCCATGCCCGGTAAATCGTTCTCTAAGCGTTCTCTAAGCATCCCCTTTACTGTGACTGGGTGAAAGCATGAGATACCATGGCAAGGCACTGATGACTTGCAAAAGCAAATGTAAATTGGTCACAAAAGAGTAAGAGATGAACTATGGAAAGCGGTACCCATGCATATCGGCTGCATCATAACTACAGCTAAGAACGCACAAGCATGGCTGCTCATGTAGACTTCGGATTGTATGACGTGGACCTTCCAGTTTGGTTTTGCTACTTAACATCACCATAGCCATACTCGTTGTGCCCCAGTCCCTCCCTTGAATTGCCGCCTCCACCAGCCCCACCTCCCTCCACGCCATGCCATCATGGCGAGGGCATGGCAGTGCTGGAAGCATCTGAGGGGAGATGGGGGGGGCCAGGGGGAGGGAGGGGTTGAGAGGGTGAAAGATGGAATCTTTGAAAGACGGATGGAGTGTGCTACCGCTGACCAAGCGCCACGAGAGAGGAGATGGGACGGGGAGGGGGAAAGAGGGGGGATAGGGGGTAGGGGGTTAGGGATGGTAATGAGATATGTGGTCCAAACAGTAAGGGAGTTGGGCATGTGCGGGGAGGTGGATGGGTGATGGCATATCGGGCAGTCCTGGAGTAGGTGCTGTGTGTGGGACGGAGAGGTGGTGCCTGCGATGACCATGGTGCTGCTGCATGGCTGGGATGGTGGGGAACGGATGGGAGGTTGAGTGATGGCGAGCAGAGGCGAAGGACCTGAGCTCGGGAAGGACAATAAGGTTTCTGCACAGGTGAACGGCACTAAGGGAGTGGATTCTAGAATGGATATGGGATGGATTGGACACGAGGCGGGGAAAGATAAGAATGGAGGGAAGGTAGGTGGGACGATGAGCCACGATGGTTACTTCCTTCACCCTTCCCACCCAATCAACCTACCGTCCAACCTTCAGCTACCAACTTGAGCTTACTGGTTTTGCCCGCCCCCCTCCTATTGGTCTCCAACGGTTATGAAAAAGCCCCCTCTTTTTCTCGAAATTCTGAGGGCTGAACTGAACCGCATAAGCCCAACCATTCTGGTTGGACCAGGAGCACTCGGGGTTCCAAAAGTTTCGAGTCGGGTCGGTTTAGGTCCAGCAGCCTGACTCACTATCTGCCCCGATCCGGTTCAACCTTAGCTGGTTCAAATCTGACCCATGCTCACGCCTACGGTAGGCGGAGTGGGCTATTGAGTCAATCACGTTATGGTTCTACTGTAACCACATCTCCTTATCAGTTTCACCCATCCACATCGTTCTGCCCACCAATCCACCATAGCTCAAGGTGGGTTAAACATGATTGTGTTGCTGTGTAGATGAAGCAACACAATCATGTTTAACCCACCTTGAGTTATGGCACAAGCAGCTTACAGCTAGCTTACACATCCATGAATCCTGCTGCCTCGATCTGGCCTCTCGGCCCACCTCCCTGCCCGTCCCCACCCACTCGCAGCTGACCGACTTCAGACCCACACCACGAACACTGCAACCGCAGCCGCCTGTGCAGCCGCCTCCGCTGGTGCTGCTGCTGTTGCTGCTGCTACCCCTGGCTCTGCCATGCTGCCTGCTGGGCTCCTGCTGTTTGTGTGAGATGGGGAAGGTAGCGGAGGGGAGTGGGGGAGAGGTCAAAGCGGTAGGCGCGTACAGCAGAGCGAGGAAAGAGTGTATGGTAGCTGCTTATGACATTGCACACGGGAAAGCAATTCTCAGATTCATCCATCCAATACAGATATAGTCTCAGGTGCACCATATTGTGCACGGATTGGCAAAAGGGCATAACCAGGGAGGCGAGAGAAAACAAGAAACAAATAGTGCAAAAGTGTTATAATGTTTTCTCCTATTCAGCTTCTCTCACCTTCGTGTTACCACGTCACCATACATACCTCTGCCAGCCATACCTGCCATACACCCACCCCACCATCAATGCTGCTTTCCATGCTGACTCTCCCACCTACTCCTCACTCACTCCCACTGACCACAACCAGACCCTGACTCTCCCCTTTCCCCCTTCCTGCCTCGGATCTTAGGTACCTTCTGCTGCTTGCTCATTTCCCCCACCCAGCCAGCCCCCCGCGCCTCCCCCCCTCCCCCCCCCCCCCCCCCTCTCCCCCCCCCAATATCCCATCCCTTGCACTTTCTACCAACTCATGATCTATCCCTCCTAATTATGCACTCCCCCTGCCCCTATTCCATCCCTGCTACCCCTGCACCATCCCCTGGCCCATTCCCAATCCCTACTGCACTCAACTCCCCGAATCCCATGCCACCAACTCCACTCTCCACATCCCTCCCCGGACCCCCTACATGAGTGCATGCGATACAACCCACCCGTTCTCTCTCCCCCCCACAAAGCCCCAAGGGTATTCTGCGAGCCAGCCCTACCATGAGAAGCAGCAGCACAGGCTGGGCCTGGAAATCAGCGAGTGTGGGGTGGGCATCCACACCCATTCACCCCCCACTGCCGCCCACACACCCAGGCTCTGGCTGTGGCTGCGACCAAATAATCCAGGCGTTCTGATAGAAAAAATGTGTTATCCCACCCACCTTACCTTGTCCTATCCCCCTACGCATATCCCACCCTCCTTACCTTGCATTAAACCACAGCCCATATCCCACCCTACCCTTGCACTATCGATCTACCATATCGCACCCGTACCCATGCACTGTCCCCCTACTCATATCCCACTCCTGATACCCCCGTGCACTATTCCTTGGTGCATATCACAATTCTGCTGCTCCCGTCCCCCCCTCCGCATATCCCTTCCCACTCCCCCACATCCCTCCCCATATCCCTACATGACTGACTGAGGGCCATACCTGCCATGCCACCACCCTCTCTTCTCCCCACAAAATTCCCACAGGCACCCTGTGATCCAGCCAAGCCATGAGCAGCAGCAGCAGCAGCAGCACGGACCTGGGAATCTAGTATCTAGTGTGGGGACACCCACCACCCATTCCACACTGCCACCCACCCGCCCAGGCTCAGCTGACGAGACAAACGAAACATTCTGAAAAAAAAAAAAAAAAAAAAAAAAAAAGAGTTGGTGTGACAGTGGAGGTAAGGGAGGCGAGCTGTATGGACCACTGCAAGACACTCAGATGATCGCACCTCAAATACGCATGTCTTCATCGCCGGCATGCCTCCAGCATGCCACTCACGCCCATCTCTTCCAGATATTCGTCTCGTCTACATGATGCCATCACATCAGCTGTTGTTGCGGGAGGTGGTGTGGTGAGTATAGATTTGACAGGCAAGAGCAAGGGTAAGGAGAAACCATATTTGCTGGCAAGCGGATTGATTGACGAATGGTTCTCATTCTGTAACGTGAGTGAAGTGTGACATTGATACACCTGATCTAAAGTGAAGTTATGAAAATGTTGAATGGGTAGAGTAACATACCTTGTCGTCACTAGACAGGGTAGCTATCTTCTTGGCTGCTGATTAGCAGAGAGTTTGAATGTGGGCCCTGCCAAGCAACCTCCTCCTAATGCAACAATAGAAGCGATAACAGTTGTTTGTGTGTCCGTAAGGCATGCTTATAAACTCTAAGAACACAAAGTCTTGGCAAGCTACAAATATGCATACTACTCCATCTAATCCTCTTATTCTTCCCACATCCCTCCACCCTCATCCTATCTCCCGGGCAATCCCGTTCACTGCTGGCCTGATACATCGACTGCCTTCCCTCCAGCACCATTCCCTGCCGTCCTGCATGAATCTCTGCACACGTCCATTCTCATTCAACTGCTGCAGTTTGTTATAAAATGAACTGACAAAGGATATGATACTCTGAATGTAAGGCACCAGTTCATAGGCTACTCCAGGCTGTAATTAGCCAAAGCCTTACCAAACAGTGAACGCTCCTCAGTGTGCTCCTCTCATTCTTCGCACTCTGTCTCTTCCTTGTTTCCCCGAGGCAGTAGAGTCCACTCTGCTCCCACGTGCCTACCAACACTCCGTGCTACCTACCCTGCCTATCCGCTTCAGTACATCATCATCGTAAATCCATTCCCCTTCTGGCAGCCCGAGACCTCTCAGCTTGGTCAGGGCAGTCAGCCGCTTCAGCCCATCATCCGTGACTGCGGTATCTTCCAGCTCAAGCTCCTCAAGCCTTGCTAGCTTCCCCACGTGAACCATGCCAGCATCCGTCACACCCTTGCATTCACAAAGGTTCAACAATCTGAGAGAATAGAGCCTTGTCAAACTCGGCAGCCCAGCATCTGTAACTGCCGTGCCACACAGACAAAGGTCCTCAAGCTTTGTCAGCCTACCCACATGCACCATGCCCACGTCCGTCACACCCTTGCACTGGAGTTCAAGGTATTGAAGACTAGTCGAGGATCCAATGCCTTCCAAGGCACTGTCTGAGATGTCTGCGTTGTTGAGAACTAGTGTCTCTAGCTGTGGCAGCTTGTAGAGGTGCTTGATGCCCTAAAGCCCGAGCTAGCTTCCAAGTAGATTCTTGACAAATGGGTCATCGTGGACGCATGAGCAAGCATGGCATCCGAGAGGCTGTGGCGGCTGCTGAGGTTCAGTCCAGTCGTTTGTGATGCTGCCTTGATTTCCTGGAGTGAATGATTGAAGAGGGCATATATGACGAGTGACAAGAAAGCAATGCATGCTTTGTGGAACCAAGCATGCTTGCGGAACGTTCCTTGCCCTGTGAAACAACACTCTTGGCACTCACTTCCCATGCAGCCTTCTGATCGCCTTCAGTCTGACTGATTTCGAGGTCAATGTCCAACTTCAAATCCTGTACCCTCTGCCATTCCTTACAAGCCGCCAAATCCTCCATGGCACGTGGCCAATCCAACTCCTGCACCGCCCTCCTCCTCTCCTCCCTCTCCCTTGCCAACTCCGCTCTCACTTCACCCTCTCCCTTTCTAGCCTCCTCCCTAGGATCTCTCAAGTCCAATTCCCGTTTTCTTTCAGCCAAAACCAGTTGCTCAGCAACAGCGCCTTTGTGTTCAGCCAGTTCTCCCTTCACTGCTGTCAGCACTGAGTCCCATCAACTCCACCTTGAATCCAATCAACTCTCCCTTCAGTACGGTCAGCTCCCCCTTCGCTGCTGCCAGCTGTGCCTCCCTCTCCTCCACCACAGCAGCAGTTGCTGCACTCCTCTCGCCCACAACACCCAGTGCGCACCTCAGTTCATTCACATCATTCCCCAAAATCTGATTCCTCTCCTCCAGAGTCAGCACTCGCTCCTTCTGTCGCCCCACCTCCTCCCTATCTGCCTCAAGCTCCCCTTTCACTGCAGCTAGCTCTCCTTTCACTGCTGCCAACTCTCTCCCCCTTTCCTCCTCCACAACAGCAGTAGCCACACTCCTCTCGCCAACAACTCCCAGTGCGTGCCTCAGTTCATTCACGTCATTCTCCAACACCTCATTCCTCTCCTCCAGCATCACCACCCTCTCTTTCTGTCGGGCCACCTCATCTTTAACCACGGCCAGCTCCCCTTTCACTGATGTCATCTCCCCCTTTGCTGCTGCCACCTCCCCCTTCACTGCTGCCAACTCCTTAGTTGCTGCGGCCAGCTCCCCCCTCACTGCTGCCAGCTCCCCTCTCACTAACCCAAACAGCCCTTTCACTGCTTCACTTATCTCATTTGCCTCTCTCTCTACAGCCATGACTGGATCTTGAGTTCAGCCGGGTCCTTCCTTACTGTAAAATGTTAACATCGGATGGAGGGACATCGAATCCAGGTCAACATGAGCAAACAGTGAGTGAAATTTTGCCTGATTCTGTTTACTTCGAGGCAAGGCGAGTGCCGCTTGTCAAATAAGCAAACACTCGTTTTCTACTGCTCGGCCGAAAAGGCGAGGAAGAATCCACTTGCGAGTATGATTGTCCTCGCGAATTGATCCCCACGTGGATTGTTAGAGGAGGTAGATTTCAATCACCTCGCTCGGCTAATCAGGGTCATTTCAGGTGGGGCAGGGTGTGTGAGTTTTCAGGGGGGGGGAAGAAACAACGGGATGGATATTTTGGTGGGGCAGGGTGTGTGGGTTTTCAAGTGGGGGTGGGAGGCAGCAGGGTGGATATTCTGGCGCGGCCAGGTAGGCATCATGAGCACCAACTGGGCTGAGGGCCAGCCCGACCCAGTCGGCGCAACTCAAGGGGGGTCCTGGGCGGCCTCTCGGATAGTCGGCGTGACCCGGGCCAGCTCCGAGCCCGCCCGTTGGGCTGGAACCAGCCCGAGCCACGGCCACGTCGTCAGCCGACACCGAGCTGGGCCGATATTTTTGAAGGGGGGTGTGATGTCAGGACTCGCAGCAATGTTCAGTTTATCTTCGCAAGACACATGTTGATCTTCTTGGCAAGTGAATACCTGATTGGCGTTCGTTCGGTTTGCCCTAATATGAGCATCGCGCCTCCGTGATAGTAACGTGACAGAACGACTTTCTTATCTTGGTTAAGCTCTTGGGACGATGAAGAGGCATAGGTACAGAGAAGGCAACAGAGAGAAACATAGGGTAGGAGAACAAGACGACTCGGAAAACGAGTGGTGTGACGGAACCAGCCTTACATCAGGCCTGGTTCTAGTTTCGCAGATTAAAACCTCATGCCGCTAGGAGAGACCATGGCACAAACACTTGAATCTGAGCTCAACAATTGGGTTGGGAGTGAGTAAGAAGCGCAACCACTTACAGTCGAGTAAACTTGATTCAGAAAATAGGTGTGGAGAGAAGGCACACGAACTTCCACCACTGTCAGTAGAAAGTCAGATGCTGCGAGAGGGATGATTGTGGTGATGAGCACACAAGGGTTTTGTGTGGTTTTCAGGTTGGGTGGGGCTGGTCGGTTTTCAGGTTGGGTGGGGCTGGTCGGTTTTCAGGTTGGGTGGGGCTGGTCGGTTTTCAAGTTGGGTGGGGCTGGTCGGTTTTCAGGTTGGGTGGGGCTGGTCGGTTTTCAGGTTGGGTGGGGCTGGTCGGTTTTCAGGTTGGGTGGGGCTGGTCGGTTTTCAGGTTGGGTGGGGCTGGTCGGTTTTCAGGTTGGGCAAGAATTGTGGGTTTCCAGGCGGGGATGGAAGGCGGGGCAGGATGGACATTCTGGTAATGCAGGGTGGGCTTTTGCAAGGGTGTTGAGGGCGAGACGAGTGTTGCTTGTCTCGTCCCAAGCAAGAAACGATCGCTCCACAAGTTGAGACACGAGGTGGCGGAGAGGGAAAAGTACTCATTGCGAGTAATACTCGCCACATCTTGTTAGTAGAACAAGGAAAACCAAATCAAGGCGAGCATTTCTGGCCTAGCCCGCATCTCGTGACCAGAGGTAAAGGAGATGCGAGCTAGCACAGCTCTGGCGATAACATCAGGTTAGGAAGTATCAGTTCTAGAAAATCTGCGTGGGTGTAATGTACCGGCATGATATTAAACTAGGACAGCAATCAGGCACAGACGTGTGATGATGGGACCCGCAGAAACAGATTACACGTCACTTTGTTGAATGGAATGACGGGACGGCCTTACCTCAGGCCTGTTTCTAGGGTTTCGTAGATCAAAACGTCGTGAGACTATGACGCCTTAGAGCTGACACTTGAATCTAAGCTCCGCAATGAGCGTGGAATACTCCAAACGATCTGAATTCCGTAGTAGTTGTGAACTTCACTCGATAAATATGAGACTTTTATGAATCAGAAGTGAGGCGGAGGCTCTTGCGACTCACGGAGAGGTATAGAGACGAACCGATAGAAAACGAGACGATGGAGGGATACTGCCGCGGGATGACTATTGGGACGCGGGTTCGGATGATTTAAGGCGTGATTTATTAGTACTAACGCCGACCCTTAGTAATTTGTAGTGCTTCTGGTAAGATGGAGTATGGTAAGGACTTGTGCTGCTCATTGTGTCAAGAGGAATCCGCCTCGAATGGTTTTGCGGGCTGTGCTCCGGTTCAAAGGTTTGGTTCTGTACGAAGGTGTTTGAACCCAGTTCAGGGAGGTAACGTGGGCGAAAATGAAATTTCCGAAAGGCGAATAAAATAGCAGCAGTGTAACAGGTGATACGTGTTTCTCGTACCTCGCAAATCGGGCCAGGGCTCAAACTTCTCGGCTATGCTCGTTTGGCGAGCAGATTCGGTGATTTACAGGCAGCGGGCGATGCGCGAAACGCTCTTGCTCGATTTCCGCATCGTAATACCTTGTCGCCCATTTCCTCCACACAATCATCCGTGCTTCTTGCTAAAATAGTCGTTACTATTAGGTCATATTCGCCAGCAGCTAGATATGCGCCAGCAAGCACGGTTGTCGCCGTTCAATTCGGTAGCCGTCACTATCGCCACGCGTCGTGAGAAAATGCTGCATGTCACATCGAGCGCTGCGACTGGCGGATCTGTTTGATGTCGCCCGTTCCAGTCGCCCGTTCCAGTCGCCCGTTCCAGTCGCACGCCGCTCCTTGGCTATAAATGATGATGCCGCCACGCGCAGCTGCGAGGATTCGCTGCTTGCCACGAACAGCTACTCGCCAAGTGAGATAATTCGGCAGCCCATTGGCGATCGACGGGTTCAAAAGAGCTAGAGGCCTAGGGTAGCGACGAGCTTTCAAAGGGGATTAATGGGTTCGAGTGCGTGTAGCGCCACTGAAACACCACGCACTTGCAATTGACTGATGCGCCGCGCTTTCTTCCCAGTAGCACGCTGCTTGCGCGCGAGATGGGTTGGAAGCGGACGTGTGAAGGTGACGCCTTAGAACGGGGACGGGCTGAGGACTGCGATGAAGGCAAACGGTGAGATGAATGAACGGACGGGATTGCTTTGTGAACGCAGCGCATGACATCCATCATGTTACATGATGTCTCCTCCTGCCCTCTCATCCATGCACCTTTCCTCCTCTGCCTGCTTCTCTCCCCCAGCAATCAAGCCACCAACTCTGTTTATCCACTCCAGAACTCTTTCTGGCGTGTTTCCCGTGCTCTGAATCATTATACCCTTTCCAAGTAACCATTTTCCTCTTGTGGCATCGCCCCGTCCTTCACTCTCTTCCCTTATCCCCCCCCTTCTGTGGAGCGCTGCTGATCTGTCTGGGAACAAGCGGCTCCCAACGGGAACCTGTGTCTCTTCCCATGAGTCCTGCTCCCCATCGTTCATATTGCCTAAGTCCAGCTGTACCTACTTCCAAAAGCATTGCGCTTTGCCTGTCTACTACTCTTTCCGGTTCGCGCCTCTACCTTGCGATCTACTCCCCTCCAGCGACTGTTATCTGAAAGAGAGATTCGAAAATAATTTACCTGCCCCCCCCCCACTTCCCCATCCCCTCTTCTTCCCCGTCTCTTCCCCTCCATTTTCACCTCCCCTACCCGGATCCTCTTTCTCACCCTCAACCCTCGCCTTTCCTTCCCTTCGCCCCTGCACTCTTCCCCCAAGTTTCAGATGGAGAGGTGTGGGGAGACATGGGTGTGGGTAGGGCGCGTGGTGGCGGAGAGAGGAGAGGTGGTGGTGGCTTGGGCTTACAGCAAGCGAGCTGGGGAGATCTGCTCATGCTCCTCCGGGCCTCTGCCCCTCTAAATTGGCCCTTAAGCAAGCCGTAGTTCTTGGGCGCATGTCACCTGCGCAGTTGGACAAGTGTTCTGCACTGCAGTGTATGAGAAAGAAGGGGGGGGACAAGGGGGGGATGTGGGCGCAAGCAGGGGTGCTTGTGTGTGTGTGGTCGGGAGTAAGAGGGATGTGGGAGACCTGGCAAGCCGAGCCGGGATTGGCCCCACCTGGGCAGACCGTCGCCCGGGTCGGGCCGGCCCCGCCTATGAGGCCGGCGCGTCTGAGTTGGACCCGGCCGACCTCGGCCAGTGTCGAGCAAGACTCTCTGTCCTTATATTCCTGGGTCCGGCAGGCCTGAGCCCAGCCCGCTCATGTGGCTGGCCCGTCCCGGCCCATGCTCATGCCCAATGCATTCACGTTTATGACATATCACATGTATAAAGTAGCGAAATAGTTCCTATTTCCCCTTCCCCTCCCTCTCCTCTCCTCCCTCCCATCCTTCCTCTCCATTTCCAGCTCTCACACTTGGCTAATGTGCGTTGGAGCTGGCAGCCCTCCATCCCTGCCTGCCTTGCCTCCATTGCTTCCCTTGCGTTCTTAACTCTTCCCATCCCGCATCTCCTCCCTCTTCCCATACTTACTCCCCGTCCTTATCACCTCCTGCTCTCGGCTAGTGTCCCTTAATGTGGACAGTCGTGTGCTCATGCTCGTGTCCCTTGTTGCCCTGCCTTGCTTGCGCCCCCCTTCATCTCTCCTGCGAATTCTTCCTTCCCACCTCCCCCCTCCCTTCTCCTAAACTGTTCATGTGCGTTAGTAGCGCTGAGGGACAGTGTGTTGTTGCATGTGGCACGACCTGGTGGAGTCACCAAAGCAGGAAGGGAGTTGAGGCGAGCCTAGTTTTGAGGCGCCTCAAAAGAGGGACAGTGTGCTGTTTGGCATGGGGCACGACCTGGTGGAGGCGCCAAGGCAGGAGGAGCAGGCGAGGCGAGCCGAGGAGGCAGCAGAGGCGGCAAACAGAGCATCTTCCTGAAGAATATGAGACGCAAAAATGCGCACCCCCATGTGTGTGAGCCGGGTGGGTGGGTGGATGGGTGGCGGCGACGCGTGCATGTGCATGTTGAGTGGAGGTATCCTTCTTTCATTTCATACATCAGGCAA